CAGTGTGACCTGCCAAAACAACAATTCACCTCCCTCAGGATCCTTAACTTTCTAAGAATTTTGTACCATGACGGTACTCCCTTGGTCGACGGTTGGCTGTTGTCTGCCATATCAAGCATGCTTAAAAATTAGATTTGATTTTAGTTAGCGAAGACTATGCTGGTTTGTTATCCCAGACAACCTATTCTTCAATTATTTTTTCCTTTTCTTTAAGAACTTCAAGTTTCACTTCTTTTGTGCCAGTTCTTGCTTTTTTCCCCTTTTCACTTCTTTTCTCAGCTTGTGGGTCAGTGTTTTCCTTGTCAGGGTCATTTCTTTCGTCCACTTTTCTTTTACACTTTTTACCTTGTTTTTCTTTCTTGGATATTTTCATTGTTCTTTCCCAATTTAACACTATTTCGCATCGGAAGTTCCATATATGCTTTCAGAATTGTGTTTTGATTTTGTTAATGAATGCCTGGATAAATTTGGAGATATTCTTTCTTTCGCTTAGTAACGAACTAATCTTTTCTGCTTTCTCTTTTGTTATAAGCCCTTTTATTAACTCTATTCTAGTCACGATTCTTTCTTGTAAGTGCTCCCCAAAGATTATTTCTGTAATCTCTTGTATTTTTGTTGTTGTGAGCTTTATTTTCTCCTTTACCGCTTTCTTAACAATGGCCTCGCTTCCTTCTCTTTCTATAATCCTTTACAATTGTTGGTATTCAGAGCATTTGGCAAAATGCTCTTGCATCTTAGTTTCTAGATAACATATTCTGCATGTGTCATCCAGATAAAGACTTGCTTTTCTCTGATGTAGAACTTGAATTGTCAGCAGGAGATCACTTAGACACTTTATTTTAAATACTCATTCTTTGTAGCTCTCTGTACTTCTATACCTGCTGCCTTTAACTTTACTTATATCCTTCCATACTTCTTTCCATTTAATTGACTTGTTGCTAGTTTCTGGTGCCACCCATTTGTTTATACTTTTCAAGCTTTTCCACTCCATATCGATACTGATTTCAGTTAATCTTGAGATAAAACTTCTTGTTGCGTCATCTATTTTTATTTCTCGCCATCTAAGCTCAGTTCGGGCTTGCTTGTTCCAGGACCATCTAGGAGCTAAGAGTACCATGCTGCATGCTCCTTTTTTTGCAAGCTTGTCAGCTTTCTCATTACCTAGTACTCCACTATATACTTTAACTTTATAATAATGCATCTTTAGCTCCTTCAACTTGATTGTTTTTCTGATTTGTTCTAGAAGGCATAGGTTTTTCCTCTTAACTATATTACTTTGCTTGTTATTAATCTTGCTTGTGCATATTGCCTGGATTGTAGCTGAGCTATCCATATATACGTTTACTAAGGCCTTGATAGGAGCTGCTAGTAGAGCTGACCAAATTGCTTCTAGTTCTGCTCTTGTTGAAGATGGCCAGTCTTTCACTGTGCCTTGGAATTCTGCTATAAAAAGATTGTGTTTTCTGCTTTTGTTTTTAACCACAGCTACTCAGCCGATCCCCATTTTCCTTCTTTCCAGGTTTTCAATTGGGCTTAAAAGTGAACCGTTGGTATAGAATGCCAATTTTTTATATCCTTCTAGTTGTGTTGCGGTGCTTTTTAGCTTTTCTTTCATTTGGAGATCTTCAAGGGCCTGCTATATTTATTTATTAAGCCCGTTAATAGGCCAGATAATTAATATGTATTTAAAGAGGTTATGCATTTAGAGGGGATGTATTTAGAGAGGTTTGACTGTATTGATCTAAAATTATCCAACTAATTAAAGCTAACATATATGGAGTATCAACTATATATCACAACAGTAAATTATGTGCTATGGTACATTAGGATGTATGTTAATTCAGGATGTCTATGAGTGCTAATTTGAGACTATATAAGTTGTTTTTGGAGGGCCCAATTTTCAAAATAACCCTATGAGTATTATTTCACGCTTATATGGTAGTATCTCCATAGCAATACCTACTAAAAGTTCTACTGATACCCTCTATCTTAGCAAGTTTTTGATAATAAATAATCGATCCAGCTAAATAAAAAAGAGTAATAAAAACTGTCTTATGATTAGTGTTAAAATCAAACCAAAAAATGCAATCAATTAGTTGGCCAAAAATTTTTTAAAAATTGACTAGAAATTGATTGTTGCCAACTAATCGATCAGTTGGTATATCAGAATGGCTTGAATACAATTGTATAGCCACTAATTACAAAATTAAATTATGATATCATATAAAACAACTAGTCGATTAGTCAACTAAATCAATTAACTAACTAATCGCTTAATTGTCAACAATCAATTAGTTGTCGAATAAAATTATCAATCGATTAGTTGCCAACTCGATTAACTAATCGATTAAAGACAATAGATAAATGTAGTACATATGTATATATGTATATTTATGCATCTATCGCATACTTGTACCTTCAAGTTTCTTTTTTGCCCTGGCCCTGGTCCAATTTTCTTTGTTGTCCTGGCTCTGGATCCTTTCTTTTTCTTTGCCCTGGTCCTGGATCCTTTCTATTTTCTTTGTTAACTTAGCCCTGGATCTAAATAAGTATTCAAAAAAAAAAAATCGTATATAAATAAGTAATTGATGTAAAATTATTTCTTTTTTTGTCTGTCACCCTGGTTCTGGATCCAATTTTTTTTACTCTGGCCCTGGATTCAATTAAATATGAAGCAAAATTTTTATAATTATTTTTTTTTTTAAAAAAAAAAAAATTAATCATATAGGAAATAGACATTTATTTTCTTTTCTTTTTTCTGTCATCTTGGCCCTAAGTCTAATTTTTCTTGTTATCCTAATCTGTATTAAATTTAGTTTAGTATTTTTTTAAAAAAAATTAAAAATATATATAAAATAAGCAATTGTTGTAAATCTATTTCTTTTTTTTTTTGTTGTTCTGGCCCTGGATCCAATTTTCTTTGTTACATCGATTCTGAATCATATTAAATATGAATCAGTAAATTTCAAAAATATTGTATGTAAAAAAAAATATATATCTATTTTCTCTTTTGAAACGTAGCGTCTTAAAATTTTTCCACACCTATGCTAAAAATAATTGTTAATTGTTAAAAGAATAACAAGAATAGCTTTTAGATATAAATGTCTTTATATATCTAATAATAATACAATAACTTTATCTTAAATTATAATAATTTGAATTATAAATTAAAGAGAGAAGCACTTATTGGACTTATTAATCTCTATTTTATATTAAACGAAATGTCTTTCAAAAAATCCAAAGAAACTAAAACTACACTTACTAATAAACAAAGAAAAAATATAATTAAGCATAAAGAAAAAAATCTCCAAATTAGTCAAGCTAATCTTGTCAGTTGGGTAAAGCAAACAATAGATCTAACAGTTCATCAAACTACTATTAGCCATTTAATAAAGAATAAAGAAGAAATTAAAGAAAATCCTGTGGCAAAAAGACAGAGAACAGTTCAACACCTAGTACTTGAAAATATATTGATTGAATAGATCCTACAAAGCCAAGAAAGAATAACTCTTTCTGATAAAATTATAGTTAAAAAAACAAAAAGTTTTGCTAAATCATTAAACATACCTGAAGACAATCTCAAGTTTTTACATGGTTGGCTATATAAATTTAAACAAAGACACAGATTAAAAAAAATAACAAAACATGAAGAAGATACTTCTGTAGATGAAGAAGTTATCAGAGCTGCTATTTCTGACCTAAGAGAAACTCTAAAAGATTACAACTTGAAGGATATATATAATATAGATGAGACTGGATTGTTTTATTAGTATAAATAAATAATATTACAAGGTACTATACAGTGCTGACTACAGTACCCCCTTGCTAAAATACCCCATGGAAAAGACCCAGGTATATTTCATGGGTTCAGATTTGTGAGTATAGAATAGTATCCGGATATAGCACAAACCTCATAGGCTGACATTCATCTGATTGGCTAATTGATTCAATTGCCCGAGTAACTAATTTATATGCTTTAAAGTACTTTTTAGGAATTCGATGTTTCACTAACAAAAAAAATTTTTTTTAATCATACACAGCTTTGAAATAACGCTAACAACTATTGTGCAAAATAATCAAGAGGTAATCAACATTCTCAAGAACTTCACTCAGAAGCAACTATTTCGTTATTTATTATTATACTAACTATATATAAGGTTTAAATACTGAAAATAGTCAACTAAAAAGGCTAATTGAGACGTTACATGTAAGTTT